GGGGTGGTGGTAACCCTGGAACAGACTTTTGTCTTAACTGGATATAGTGGACATACAGTGCATTTTAGTGTACAGTTCTTGGAGTTTTGACCGATGCAGTGGTCGTATAACTACTGCCCCACTGTCAAGATAGGACCTCTGAGCAGATTTTTAAAGCAGATACTTGAATGACTTCAAAGTGTATTGGAATCCAGAGGCCTATCAAGAAAACCAGAAAACCGATTTATGTGGGAAGGGGAAGTGCATAGCCCAACCCTGGCTTTTAGGTGCTATGACATCAGAGTCTCATGTTTTGAGGAAAGGATACCTGCACGAATACTTCGTCTTGCAGTGAATTGCTGAAGTAGGTGAGAGGGAGTGGAGGTGGGGGGGGGTGGGCCTTGCCACAGACTTACAGGGGAAGCATGGGTAGGGGAGGCAGATGAGGGAGTGGAGAATCAGGTAGGAGGGCACAGGGCTCTAGAAACATCAGGGTCTGGGGAGTAGGAGATGAGCTGAGAAGAGGCTGGGCTTTGGGCCTCACAACTTGGGCATGGTACAGTGATGGGATAATTAACCACCCTTTGGAACTTAAATGGCTTGAACTGTTGTGGGAGAGAAACCTAGGAAACAAAGAAATAGGGTGGGGGGCTTGATGGTGGAATTTCTAGTCCACATAATTAAAGATAAGTTTGGCAAGAATAGAAATCCATCTTCTAATTTCATAAACTGGTTGAGTGTGTGTGTGTGAGAGAGAGAGAGCGCGCGAGAGAGTGCGAGAGAGCGCAGAAAGGAACGTGGACACAAATTCCCTACTCCAATCCCCTAATTTTGCAGGTGAGGCTAGTGTAGCTTTGGCCCACCAGGCTGGTGTGGTCCAATTGCCCTGTAGAAGGAGTGGCATCCAGTATGACAGAGACTCGGGATTGGGTACCTTAAAAAAAAACTCCGCACACTGTTTGTCCCAAATTGTCTCAGTTAAACTTTCTTTAAAATTTTTATTTATTGGTTTTAGAGAGAGGGAGAGGGAGGGAGGTAGATTTGTTGTTCCACTTAGTTATATATTCATTGGTAGAATTTTGTATGTGCCATAACCGGGTATATAGGGATGTATAGGGCTGACACTAACCAACTGAGCTGCCTGGCCGAGGCTTAGTTTGAAGTTGGAGGAGTGTGTGAAGTTGAAAAAGACTTTAAGGTGCAAGTCAAGGTCATTGGTGGAAAGAGTCAAGAGTTTTTCTAGATTGTTTATTTCCCGAGGGCAGCCTCTAATGGAATCCACTTTGTTAAGGGGTTACAGTATTTTAGCCTCTTAAAGCTGCAGAAGTGGGGGATACTGTATACTGAAACATGCTTTACTACCTTTTTGCCAGGGTTCCTGGTGTCTTAGGTTTTTATTCAACAAGAATCTTTCAACTTGGGCTACTAATGTTGGGTGGGTAGAGCTAATCTTAATTTACTGCCGTCTGATAAGTCAGTGATGAAATGGCAGTACCAGATCGAGAGGGAGAGGGAATGAACACTAGTGCCAGGTTCCTTAGAGGACGGTGGGGTGAGCAGTTGGGAAGGAGGCAGGTTCCAGCCGGATATACAAATTTGGGATTTGGACATCTGGTGGTGATGGTCAGGGGCAGAAGACTGAGGTTCATTTTCTAAGACAGGCATATAAATGGATCTCTGGGAGAAATGAGGAAGGGAGATGAAACCTGGCCATTCCTCCTGCCTCCCCCACTCCCAACTTGATTCCTTTTAAGTTATTGCTGAATAAACACACACAAAGTGGGCAATGATCTGGAAATGGGGGCACTGAGTTTTCCAGTGGACAAAGGACACGTTTGCCCTGGGACAGGCCGGAAGGCTTTGAGTAATACACTAGTTACTACACATCATTCTTGCCTGGCCAGTGTTTTCTAAGAACTTTTGCCAAACAGTATTTTATTAGCTTAGTTTGGATTACTATGTCTACTTGAAAGAGACGCTGTTATATCTATTTTAGCATTTTAATCTTTTTTTTCTTTGTTGATTTTAGAGAGAGAGAGGAAGTGAGAGGGAGAGGGAGATAGAAACAGCGACGAGAGAGAACCTCGATTGGCCGCCTCCTGCATGCCCCCCACTGGGGACTGGGTCCACAACCTGGGCATGTGCCCTGACCGGGAATCGAAACGGCGACCTCTTGGTGCATGGGTCGAGGCTCAACCACTGAGCAACACTGCCCGGGCTGAATCTACTTTCAACTTTTCTATTCTGTAGGCATTTATGACATTGTTATCTTGTGTTCTCAGAGTTGGGTATGCTCTGACCCCAGGCTCATTTTCACTTGTGTGTAGAGCATCTAGTAGTTTTCAAGGGATTCTGTCCCTGGGCAATTGGAGTATGGGGCCTTTTTCTTTCATAAGGGGGAAACTACTCACATTTAGTAGGTATGGCTAGGTTTACCAAAGTCCTGTGAGACCCAGGACGGTCGTTTAAACTATATTGTCAACCTCAGTTGTGGAACCCTGATAGAGCCAAGTGCATTTTGCTTGGTTATGTTATATGTTCCTTACTAGAGAGGCATGAAGGTTGAAATAATCTTTTTTGACTTGAGTGTAATTAGTTTGGAGATCATGGAGATTTCTTTTTCTTTTTTGTATCTAGTGGTTTAGATCAGTAGTTCTCAACTGTGGCTTCATATTGGAATTTTCCAGGGATCTTTAAAAATACTGGCGCCTGGGTCCCACACCCAGATTTTTATTTAATTGGTCTAGGATGTGGAATCAAACATTTGAAAACTCCCCCAGTGATTTTAATGCACAACCAGGAATGAAAACCACTGGTCTAGATGTTCTAGAAACTCTACAAAGTGGAGCTCATGTCGTTGGCTTTCTCTTTTCATTTTAGAACCATGACACTGGAAAAAGAGATGCTGGATACTTGTTTCAGCTCTGGCTCCCCTTTCTGTAGTCTTCTCCAAGGACTGGGAGCCTTTTGGGTGACAGGGGAGTTCCCCAGGTCAGGAATAAGGTGACTATGAAGTGAAATAGACAGTGGGAAAATGGCATGGTCTTCGTGTCAGTGGCAGGGCTGGCACACTCAGTGTCCATGGGGACTAGGAGGTGGTGACAGTGAGAAATAACATTCAGACCTGGCATATTTCTACTGAACTGGAGAGTAAACCTACAGTAGAGGAATTAGTAATACATCAAATTGGATTTGCTTGGTATTGTGTTTTTCTTCCGTTTGAAATGTGGCGGGATGTCCTCCATTAGCCCATGTGGTGCCTTTGCTAACTGTGCCAGTTAGAAAAAGGAACTGGTCACCATGCTGGGCTTGGCCAGCAGTCCAGGGCTTTGTGTGTATATCACACAAAGACAACCCCATTCTCTGGCCCAAGGCACAGAGTTTGCCCCAGCTCAGCCTGTGGGCTGGGGTACTCATTCACTGCACAGCTTGGCCAGTGACACATAGGGTGGCCCTGCCTGGATTGTCCTCTTCACCAGCCTGGGGGTTTCTGTTCTGTTTTGTAATGTGCCAACAAAACCCAGTCTTGAGGCCATTTACCAGGAGTGATGACTTGTTTTGTATACTTTCAAAACAGAAAACATCTGTTCTAGCCAAGGAGGATTGAATAATTACATAGTGGCTTTCCTCCCCTTTAGGGTAAGTACCACTGGGGTATGTGGACTTGGGTGTGCTGGCACACTTGTCTTTACCACTCTGCCTTTCTGTCACTTCCATGGTGGCCTGACCTCACCAGGCTTCCGTGACAAACACAAACTGAACAAGATCAGTTCTTTTCATCAAGTTTGAAATCAGAGTTTTTTAGGAGGGGGAGTTCAGTTCTGGGTCTATAATTCAGGCCTCCCCTTTTAATTTCCTGAACCCAATTTCAGAGTAGCAAAGCCAGCTAGATCCTTTTCTGCTAAATGAGTTTCCCAAAGGCACAGTTTTGCTGGGAATGAGCAAGACTTGAATGAGACACAAAGTCACTGCTCGTGTTGGTCAGTGCTTGTGTTCCCATGGGGGGTGGTGTGGATTCTGCTCCAGTAGTCTCTCCCCAACATGGAGTTTTTTCCTAGAAGTGGCCTCAGTTTAGTTTGGTTATCTGGAGGGCCACCCTGATACTTTCTGGACCTGCCCAGGTCCACTGCTCTCCCTCCTGTGGCCTGCTGGACACTACCTTCTCATACAGAGGAACCCCCTTCCTTGTGGGTGAACTGCTGTTGCTGTTTTAATGCAGGTTGGGTTTGAAGTCCCTTTGCCTTCTCAACTTCTTCCTCTCCAAAATTGCTGGTACCACACAGATCTCTGGGCTGTGTCCCTCTAGTCCCACCTACTCCTGTTTTGGGGTTTGGTGGTATACTATGTCATCTAGTTTTGTTGTAAATGGTGTCTGTGAATTTGGGTTGTGGTACCCTGATTGCTCTGTATTTGGGGGTTCAGAGGATTACAGAGTCACTAGTTCACTGCCATTTTTGCTACTCCTTTTGTTCTTGTTTAAGTTAAGTTGAACAGAGGAATTTCGGTGGGTGTATTTGTCTGCTAGGGGCTGCTGTAATCCGGTATTAAAAATAGATGGTTTAAAATGGAAACTTACTTCAGACTCCCAGGTCTGGAGGCCGGAAGTCTGAAAACAAAAGTATAGGCAGGGCCACGCCCCCTCTGAAGGCCCTGGGGAAGAGTCCTTGCTTGCTCCTCCAACTCCAGATGTTCTTGTCTTGTGCATCACTCCAATCTCTGCCTTCACATCACCTGTGCTTTCTCCCTGTGTCTTCTCTTCTGTCTCTTACAAGGACACTTGTCATTGGATTTAGGACCCACCTGGATAATCCAAGATGATTTCATCTTTAGATCCTTAAGTTAATCGTGTTCTATTATGTTACCTGGTAATCTATGTAGTCTCTCCTTGCAGGGTTGAGAATCTTTATAGCTGAGTGACTCTGGCTACTCTTTGTTCAGGTATTCTCATAAAGTTCAGTCGTCCAACTGGCTTTCCTTCTGAACATGATTCATCTGACCATCTTGCCTTTTCTCCCCTCTAGCTGACAGTGAGACCATCCTAAAAGGCCTCCAGTCCATCTTCCAGGAACAGGGGATGACCGAGTCGGTGCATACTTGGCAGGACCACGGCTATTTAGCGACCTACATAAACAAAAATGGCAGGTGAGATGGCCTTGAGTGCTCCTCTTCACTTTGGAGAACTGCAGGAGTGGGGGAGGAGGTGCAAAAGGCAGTGGGGGTGGGAGGATGGGGTGGGGTGGTGGTGTCCAGGGATTTTTTTTCCTTCTTTGACAACTTTTAGAAGGAGACTAGAATTCAGTGCTTCTTGGCCTTAGCTGCCCTGTAGCATCGCCTGGTTGTACTTCTTCCAAATCCCATTCTCAGACACTGCCCCCAGAGATTGAGGCCACTAAGCATCGGTATTTCTCCAGAGCCCTGAAGGTGATTCTACTGTGTGGCCCAGAACCCCTGGGCAGCATAAGCAGTGTGAACTCGTAGGCAGTGATCTGGACTTGGTTAAAACAAGTTCCTGGGCCCCTGTCCAGGAGTTTCTGATGTGGTAGGTCTGGGGCAGCACCCCATATAGCATATCCAGCAAGCTCCCAGGGGATGCTGATGCTGCTGGTGGGTTGACCCCACTGTGAGTAGCAGTATTATAAGTGATCACCCATTAATGCAGACCATCAGCAAATGCAGGATGAGAATATCTACAAGTATAGCTTGATAGGAAGCTGAGGAGAACCAAGAGTTCAAGTTTGTTTCCTTAACACTTGTAGATTATCTAGACATTATGTAATCGAAGTATAGATGAAAGTGATGTGTTCTGAGAACAGGAAAAGAAACCTAAATTAATAAATGACTGGTAATATAAGATGCCAGTGCGTTTGAGCTTTTGTATTTTCCTAACTCTAGGTTTGTACTGGTTTAGGATGCTATTAAGATTCTTAGTAATTTATTTATTTTTTTTATCCTCACTCGAGGACATTTTTGCCTTCATCTTCAGATAGAATGAGAGGGAGAGAGGGAAGAAGAGAGAGAGAGAAACATCGATGTGAGAGAGACACATCAAGTGGCTGCCACCCACACGACCCAACCAGGGCTGGGGACAAACTGCAACCGAGGTATGTGCCCTTAGCGGGAACCGAACCCGGATCTCTCTGGTCCGCGGGCCAACACTCTAACCCAGTAGTTCTCAACCTTCCTAATGCCACGACCCTTTAATACAGTTCCTCATGTTGTATATAGGTGTATCTGCATGTGGGCGGACCTGCCTGGAGACAGATAGAGGGGTGGTGTCTCGGTTCCTAAGACCATCGGAAATATGTGTTTTCTGATGGTCTTAGGCGACCCACAAAGGGGTCACGACCCACAGGTTGAGAACCGCAGCTAACTGCTGAGCCAAACCGGCCAGGGCTGCACTATTAATTTAAAAAGGTGAACTCCTGTTTTTTTTTGGTTTTTTTTTTTATCCTCACCCGAGGACATTTTTGCATTTATCTTCAGATAGAGTGGGAGGGAGAGAGGGAGGAAGAGAGGGACACATCGACTGGTTGCTGCCCACACGACCCCAACCGGGGCCAGGGACAAACTGCAATCGAGGTACATGCCCTTAGTGGGAACTGAATTTGGGACTCTGGTCCACAGGCCAACACTCTAACTGCTGAGCCAAACTGGCCAGGGCACTCCTGGGTATTTATTTATTTATTTATTTATTTATTTATTATCCTCATCTGAGGACATTCTTGCATTTTTCTTCAGACAGAGTGGGAGGGAGAGAGAGAGAAACATTGACGTGAGAGAGACACACTGAGCGGTCGCCACCCACACAACCCCAACTGAGGTATGTGCCTTTAGCAGGAACCGAACCCGGGACTCTCTGGACCGCAGGCCGATGCTCTAACCATTGAGCCAAACCGGCTAGGACACTCCTGGGTATTTTTGATGGCTTTCATTCCATTCCCCCGATGGGTACAAAGTCCTGGAATTCCACATGCCTTCATTAATGGTCCACATTGCTCTCCCTTGTTTTTCCATTAAAAGACCACCCCCACAGTCTTACAGAGGCCCAGAAAACAATGATGTGAGATGAGGGAAACTTACTTTTGAGGCTATCTCCCCTTCCTTTATTCTCTTTGCAAGTCTACTTGGTCCAACCCCATGGCGGTACTTGGCATTCCCTCTCCTGATGCATTTTAGGGACATCTCCCTCCATCCCTGCCCAAGCCCAGATTTGTATTTCTAACTAGGTAGTAAACATCCATATATGTGTTTAGCAGGTACCTCAGATGTATCTAAAGTTATTTTGTCCTCAAGGGTGATCCAAAATTGATACCACCACCTAACCTCCTTCTGCTCTCCAGTTGCTGCCGATTCTCCTGAAAGCAGTGGTCTGAGCTGTCCCTGGGCCCTCCAGCTCCTGCAGGCTTACATTCAGCCCTTCTCTGCCTCGGCCCTCCTTCCCCACCCTCTCTGCCACTATCTCTCACTGTCCTTGCTGCGGTCCATCCTTTGGGGACCACAGTAAATCAGACCTTGACATTCTGCCACCTCAGTGAGCTCCTCCTGCACTCCAGGTGAAGCATCTCTGACCATCTCCTAGGGCCTTTGCTGCCTGGCCCCACCACCCTCTCTAATGTGGTTCTTGAAGCTTCTACCCCAGACACCAATTCCAGCCATCCAGAGGGCTCAGCATTCTTCCTGGAAGAGAGTGTTTGAGTGACAAGAGCTGTTTAGAAATTGCTTTTATAAACAGAAAAAAATAAAAATAAGCATGCTTAGTTTAAACTCATTTTCTCCTTTGGTCTTCTTATTTCACTTGGTCAGCTGGGACCCATTCCCATGGTCCCTGACCCATGGTACCTGTCCCCATGGTGCCTGTCCTGAAACCTCACTTTTGCCACCCTCGCACCTGATCGGGGGAAGCACTGCAGCTCTACACCCTACTTATGGTTAATGGCCCCTTGGCCATGCCGAGGGCCTGGTCCTCAGCCACCTTTTCACCTGTTCTCCACATTCCCCCCTGGTAATTTATCCTTTTTATTTCTGGTTTTAATCCCGTGAGATTGGTACTTGACACCCTGCCTTGCAGCTGTGTTCTCCTGGTTCTCTGGCAGAGGACTCTGCTAGAACCACCCAGGTGGTTAAGGGGACGCTTTCCTTTGTGCTGCTGGTGGTGGTGGAGGGGGAGGGAAAGATGATCAGCTTATTCAGATGTAAATGAGTGTGTGGTGTCCTGGACTTGAACTTGATTTTGAGGCTAGCTAAGGGGTGAAGGTGAAAATTAACTAGTTGCATTTATTTTTACACCCAGGCACACTACGTACCTGTATTCTCTGAACAGAATTCATCTTCCAATTTAGTATATTTCAAATATTTCTTTAACCATGACTTATAGTAAGAAGTAACTTTTTTTTAATTTTTAAGATTTATTGATTTTTTAGAGAGGAGTGGAGAGGGGGAGAGAGAGACATAGAAACATTGATGACAGAGAAACATCGATCAACTGCCTCCTGCATGCCCCCTATCAGGGATTGAACCCGAGATCTGGGCATGTGTCCTGACCCGGAATTGAACCTGCAACCCTTCGGTGCACAGGATGACACCCAATCAACTGAGCTACACTGGCCAGGGCAGTAAGAAGTAACTTTATATCGTCACACACACACCTATGTATATACAATACAAATACACAGTATAATTGGAAAAAATAAAGCTTCCTCAAATAATTAACTCTTATTGCATGTGATACTCTCATATTTTTATTTTATAAAAAGTTCTGATCAGCCCAGCCAGTGTGGCTCAGTGGATTGAGTATGTCTCATGGACTGACAGGTCCTGATTCGATTCCTGGTCAGGGTACCTGCCTGGGTTTCAGGCTCAATCCCGAGCCAATTGATGTTTCTCTCTTAGATCAATGTTTCTATCTTTCTCCCTTCCTTTCTCTCTCTTAAAAAAAAATCAATAAAAACATTTTTTAAAAAAGTATTGATCAGATCTATTAAATTAGTGGTCAGAAAGATTTTTCTGTAAGGAGCCATATAAGTTGTCTGTCACACATTCCCCTTTTATTAAAAAAAGCTCTTTAAAATGTACAAACCATTTTTAGAGTGCAGAGTTTTCAAAACATGCTGTGGGCCGCACCTGACTTGCAGGCTGGAGGTAGTGCAGTGACCCTGGACTCAGTGAATTTAATTACCACTTGCCTGCAGTCAGGAAAACCCAGCTGTTTATTTTTTAATTGAATTTATTGGAATGATGATGTTCATTTGCAAAACCACACAGGTTTTAAGTGTACAATTCAACAAAACATCATCTGCACACTGCGTCATGTGCCCATTGCCCCAAGCAAAGTCTTTTTCCATCCCCATTTGCCCTCTGCCTCTATTCCCCCCCTCTCCCTCCCCCATTTCCTTCTAGCCATCACCACACTGTTGTCTGTGTCTTTGTGTTATGTATATATGTTTTTTGGTTCTGTTTTGAGTTCTGAAGGTTAATGGGAAGAACACAGTTGGCCCCTCCCCACCCCACCCGCCGTCCCAGTGGTCAATAAACCTGGCTGAATCACCTGCTGGGCAAGCTTCTTAATATATCAGTTTCGCAGAACTTCCTACTGAATGATTTTCTGGGCCCAATAATCTGGTTTGAAAACCTTAGCATTTGGTGACTCTCTCTAAATCTTTCCTGAATGATTAGTGGCTTCCCTGCCCTTAGGCAGGGAAGTGGCTCTAAAAAGAAAGGTTAAATATTTAATTTAGGGGGAAAGAAGAGAAGTGGTCTTTTTTTTTAATTGGGTTGGCATCTTTTTTTGTTTTTTGTTTTTTTTCCTTTTGAAATCCATGATACAATTCCTAACCTTAAAATTATGCTTTCCTTTGTAGCTTTGCCAATCTGCGAATTTATCCACATGGATTGGTGTTGCTGGACCTTCAGAGTTACGACGGTGATGCGGAAGGCAAAGAAGTTGACAGTGTCGGTTTTTCACTGTTATTTATTCGACTATTTGAGGATTCACAAAACCAGCTCTGTTTAATAATGTTAAAATTATTTCACTTACTTGCTGACTTCCCAGTGAGCTGTGGGTGTTCTTCCCTTCACAATAAGTGGTTTTAGAAGAGAAGTCTTTGTTCCTCAGTTGTTTTTAGGAACCTGGCTGCCATCTTTCCCTTAAGTGCTAGATGACGATTTTACTTTCCACTGCAGGGAATGGAATGTAAAGTTTTAGTGAAGATGTTATATCTGCATTACCCTTGAGCTTTCCCCTTTCCCATCATTTTCTCGGTAACTTAGACTGAGGTTAGGTCAGCACCTCGAGGGCTGGTTCTGGAGGCTGCTGTGGGGATGGCGGAGGGCAGGTGTATTTGGGTACCTGCCAGTTCACACAGCTCTGTCAACATGGCCTCCACCTCCTGGCCTGTAATTTAGCTGTTCTACTCTGCCTATTCTAGAAGCCCATTGATTTCTTTTCCTTTTAATTGTAGCTTTTGAACAAAGTAGAAGAAAGAATGAAAGAATTGAGTCAGGACAGTAGCGGGCGGGTGAAGCGGTAAGTTTACTCCTGAATGTCCTGTTATGTTTGATAAGTGATAACATAATCAGAATGGTGGTGCTGTCCCTGAGTTGTGTCTTCTGAAGCTGTGGCAAAAATCAAAGTCAGCTTCTACGTCTGGCAACAAGGTAGACTGAGCTAGTGGGCCCCTCACACTGAAACAAGACAAGATGTGTGAGAACCACACACATGGACTGAGAGAGGGACATGCTGGATGAAATGAGACAAAGGCAGAAAGGAGATGTGGAGTGGTTCCCAGGAGCTGGGAACTCTGGAAAGCAGAGCCGGGTGAGGCTGCCACCTCCGCCAAAGGGGAGCTAGAAAACTCTTCCCCCTTTCTGTCCAGTAAAGAGAAAGGTCACCTGTCTCTGCTCAGAGTTCTGGGCTCCAGAGTAGAATTAAGCAGTTAAGAGATTTATGACAGGATGGGGTGATAGAAAATTTGCTTCAAAGTTTGCAAGTCAGAAGACTTTGCAAGGTACTAAGGATCAAGAGGTCACCCACCTTGAGCAACCACAGGTAGGCTCTCTTCAAGCGGTAATGAAGACAGTTAAGCTTTCCCTGCCCAGGAGTATAGCCACTATGCCACTTGTCACTGTTTAAAATTATGCGAGTAAAAATAAACAGTTCAGTTCTTCAGTCTCACTACCTTCATGTCAGTAGCTAATGGCTAATGACTGCCATATCAAACAGCACAGAGGTATTTGCCAGTGGTGTCAGGTGTTAAAAGCTTTGCTAGAAGTACAAGTGTCAACATTTGTTGGAAGGGATAGAGTCTGGTAGGTCCTGGGAATTAAGAATGGGAATTATGCCTGGCCGACGTGGCTCAGTGGTTGAGCACCAACCCATGCACCAAGAGTCTGCCAGTTTAACTCTCAGTCAGGACACATGCCCAGGTTGTGGGACAAATCCCCAGTTGGGGGGCATGTGGGAGGTGGCCAATCGATGTTCTCTCTCATCGATGTTTCTATCTCTCTCTCCCTGTCCCTTCTTCCCTCTCTAAAATAAATAAAGAAAACAATTTTTTTTTTCTCAAAAAAAAAAAAAGAATGGGAATTAATGAATTCACAGCAAGTAATTCTCAGCAATTTGCTCTTGCCTGCCTGGGTGGCTCCTTATTAGGCCTTCAAAAGTTGGGAGGCTTGTCCCTTGCTCATAAAGGCAAACACATAGATCACATAGATGCCGAGACTCGGACGTTACGAAGGCCACACCATCACTGATGGAAGCATCTGGAATACAGATTTCTCTAGTTCATGGCCCTTTCCAAAAGAGGGAATTCTTATTGGCAAGAGCTAGGATGTTTGTGTACTTAATGACTCAGCATACTAAGTTTGACCAGTCCATAGGAAAGCCCCAAGGCCACGTACCAGAACTAGAAAGGTGTTTAATTTCTCTGGTGGGCAGAGAGCAGGAACCTGTAAGTGAAAAGAACATGACAGTGCGGAAATTGCCCACTTTTTGTATTTCTGTCAGAGCACTCAGATTTATGTACCTCGCCCAAGTTCTGTTTATGTGTTCTCAGCCCCTTCCCCGTCCTGAAAAAACACATCCACACCCACGCTCCTTTCTGGACTTTCCATCTTTTCCTGCTTCTGAGAGTTTTCCTTGTCTACACCCATTTGAACTGAATGGGTTCCCACTGTATTGTAAAATGTCTAAACTTGGAGATGATGAATTGGCCAACTTCAAAATGCCTCTGAGTTTTATTGGTCTGATTTTTATCAGAGTTAATTCTGGGAAGGAGGAAACAGATGGAATGCATTTATGGGCCTCAGCATTTATGAGAAGTCTGGTTCATTTGTGTCTTTCTGGTATGGGAGTTTCTAAAGGGACAGTGAAGTTAGGCGTTAGATGTTCAGTTCAAAAAGCAGACCTTGTTTTTGCTTGTCACTGTTTTTACATCTTTTTATAAAATCAGGGTGGAGGAGGTGAGAAGTGGTTGGAAATACTTTGTTATAGGCCCTTTGTTGTTGACTTCAAAAGGACAAGGATGGTGCCACTTTTCTCTCCCAGGAATGGCATTGTTAGAGAGTCAGTCATTAACAAATAACTCAATAACATCTGAATTTATTACTCCCTGGGGGCCCATGAAGTAAATGTGAATTCTCATCTAAGAAGCCATGGGATTTCTTAGAAAATGTATTTTTGTATTTTACTTTTCAAAACAAAAGGAACAGGAAAACAGGCTCACATCAGTTTTGTTGAAAATTCTTGCAATTTATACACTGCACCTGAGGCCCAGGGCATATTCTGCCTGACTTTCTACCATCCAGTTTTAGTTTTCACCTTTTTTTTTCAGTCCTCACCTTTTATCTTCAGACAGAGTGGGAGGGAGGAAGAGAGAGAGAGAGAGAGAGAGAGAGAGAGAGAGAGAGAGAGAGAGAGAGAGAGAGAGAGAAACATCGATGTGAGAGAGACATCTATTGGTTGCCTCCCGCATGACCTCAATCAGGGCCAGGGACGAACCGCAACTGAGGCACATGCCCTTGGCCGGAATCAAACCTGGGACTCTTTGGTTCACAGGCCGACACTAACTGTTGAGCCAAACAGGCCAGGGCCAGTTTTGATTTTCAGCAATGATGGTTGAAATGAGAGTTGTGTGGGGTTTCAGAAGATCCTCCGTAGCCCGACACAGGGAGATAGATGCATATTCTGGTAGGATGAGTGCTTCGTCAAGGTAAAGCCTTCCCCATCCTGTTGGAGATCCTTGTTATTTCTTTGCCAGTCTTTACAAACCACTGTGTTGCAATTGAGGAAAGAGTTGAACCTTAGTCAAGGTACTGTTGACACAACTGAGATTGGGCATTGTTTATTTTCAGTGCGTTTGTGCATAGTTCAGTAAAAGCCTATGGCTGGCTGGCTATCAACCAGGAGGTAGGTTTCTGCCCTGAAAGCTGGGACTTGATATTTGTCACTTTTCTACCTCACTCCACTCCCCACCATCAGCCAGGGGTGGAAGAGGCATCCCCCAAGTCCTGCTTGCCTGCTCTTGGAATAGGGGGAAGGTGTCCTGATTGGGGCTCCACATTTTACAAGAAAAACCTCTGGTTGGCCTAATATACCAACAGCTGAATTTGTTTACCTGAAAGATGGATTGGTTAAATGAGGAGCTGGTAGCATAAAATGAGAGTTTATGGGAACCTGCTTTGTAAATCTTAGTGTTTTTTTTTAAAGACGTTAGTATATTTCCCCACAGGAAGCCTCATTAACTTTCTAACAGGTCCAGATTGGGCTTTGGGAAGCAAGTGAGCAGGGAAGGGAAAGAAACTCATCAGAGCAAGTCAGAGGTCGTGTCTCCCAGCATTTAAGGTGTCTGTGGCTATTTAGCTCTGGATCACCACTGTGTCCGAGAGCATATGACTTGGAGATGGGATGTGCCATGTGTGTAACGAGTTCTCACTTTGTTTGTGTTATGGTTATATTTGCCAAGTCCCTTTTCCAGGTCTGCTTTTCCCTGTCATTTAGTGTCCTCTGCTGGTAGTTTCTAGTACATTCACCCTATCTAGAATACTGACTACTTCCCGAAGAATGGAGTCAGAAAATCATCAGTTTGCAGCCACTCTAGTAATAATCGGTTCAGGCAACAATCTTTTAGATGCCAAAGCCACTGGTGAAGGCTTGTTGGAAGGTCAGGACCTTCACCCAGTTTTGGAGGAACACCCCACAGCTTGCTTAAGCATTTCAAAGGGAAAGGAAGGTACCTTTGCACGTGAAGAGATCTGGTGCCATCTACTTCAACCAAGTGGTCATACTTAGCATCACCAATGATAGGACAAGCACACATTTCATGTCCTTGATGTGATGCCTGTATGATATATGTCAAACTGAATCTAATGAAGATCATCAGGCAAACCCACCTGAGGGATTTTCTGCAGAGCACCTGGTCTGGACTTTTCCAAGATGTCAATGTCATGAAACACACGAGGAAATAAAAAACTATGTTAAGTGAGGGGGAAAAACCCCAGCAAAATACAGTGTATGATCCTTCACTCAAAAGCAGAACAACTATAAAGGACATTATTGGTACAATTGTAAACACTTGGATATGGATTCTGAACTATATAATGGTATTACGTCTATGTGTACTTTGCAGGAATGTCAAAATGGCCATGTGGTTATGCAGGCAGTCTTAAGAGATCCCTGCTAAAGTATTTTAAAGGTAAAGCATGATATCTGCAGTGGCCATTTTCTGCTTCAACTTTTTATTAGGAAAATTTAAATCATGACAGGAAGCTTTTAATTTTTTTTTCTTTATTGATTTTAGAGAGAGGAAGGGAGAGGGTGACACAGATTGAAAAATCGATGAGAGAGAACATTGATTGGCCGCCTCCTGCATGCCCCCACTGAGGATTGGGCCCACAACCTGGGCATGTGCCCTGACCAGGAATTGAACCGGTGACCTCTTGGTGCATGGGTCGATACTCAACCACTGAGCCACACCGGCTGAGCATACCAGGAAGGTTTTTAAAAAGTAAAGTCCTGTGTACAGCAGTTGTTGAGATTTGGTGGTGGTCATGTTGGTTAAACCTAAAAGGCCAAACATTACTTTTTTGGGTACTAGTCAGGAGTTGGCCTGGGGTCACGTGGCATTGCTTCTGCACACTCTTGCTCCCAAGTACAATTTTAAGGCAGGGTCACCATAAGCAGCCTTCTTACAAGACTCATTCCTGTTTCCCTTTTTTTTTTTTCCAGATTACCACCCATAGTTCGAGGAGGGGCCATTGACAGGTACTGGCCCACTGCTGATGGCCGCCTGGTTGAGTACGACATAGATGAAGTGGTGTATGATGAAGATTCACCTTACCAGAACATTAAAATTCTGCACTCAAAGCAATTTGGAAATATTCTCATCCTGAGTGGGGATGTTAGTAAGTATTCCAGCCCTACCCTAATTGCATTACAAAGTGACAGTGTGTTGGCTTATGTGATTTTCCTGACAGATAGCACTGTTGTAGATTTTCCCAAGTTTGTCCTTGGCACTGCTGTTTTTTGAAATGAACATTTCTGTTGTATTAACCTGTGGGTTGTCTGAGCCTTCATGTTTTATAGCAGAGCCAGGAAAACTTTGTCTTGAGGTTCCTTTTTCTTAATTTCTTAGTGATCAGCATTTGGGTTGTATTTCAAAAAGTATATAATTGATTATTTACAAAAGTCTTTTTGTTATGGAAAACCTCACATCTAAGTAGACAAAATAGTGTGATGACCCAAATATACTCACCGTTGGGTGTCAATAGTTATCGACTCCTGGCCAGTCTTGTTTCCCCTAAACCCCAGTCCACTTTCTCCCGTGTGTGTGTGTGGTAATTGATTTTTTCTTTTAGAGAGAAAAACATTGATGTGAGAGAAACACATTGATTGGCCACCTCCTGCACGCCCCCTGCTGGGGATCGAGCCTGCAACCTGGGCATGTGCCTTGACTGGGAATGGAACCAGGACCTCTTAGTCCATGGGACGGCACTCAAACCACTGAGCAAAACCGGCAGGGCTCTCATATTTTGAAGCAACTCTCAGATGTATTATTTCATCTGGAAAGACATAATTGCTCTTAATTATTCACATCAGTAATTCCTTAAGACTGAGTTTTCTTCTGAGTGACTAATATATACATGTATGTCACCTATGTGTGTGATCTCTTGTATTGAGGTTGACGAAAACTCCACAACCCCGCAAAAAAAAAAAAAAAAAAATACGTTTGCACATTGTTGGCAGTTTTTAAAGATTGAAAGTGAAACATCTTCTGCTAGAATCCAGCCATTCCCAGTGTTGTGAGTCAGGTGGTGTGCGGGTTCAGTTAGAGTCACCATTTTGGGTCTGTTTCCTCCCTAGATCTGGCAGAGAGTGATTTGGCGTATACCCGGGCCATCATGGGCAGTGGCAAAGAAGATTACACTGGCAAAGATGTGCTGATTCTGGGAGGCGGAGATGGGGGCATTTTATGTGAAATAGTCAAACTGAAACCAAAGATGGTCACTATGGTAGAGATATCCTTTGTTGTATGAAATCAAGTTCAATGGCTACTTTTGTTTTCTTCCTTCCTCTTTTCTTATGATTCCACTTAATGTTATTGAGTTAACTGTGTGATAGATAAAGAATGCCTTGAACAGGCATTTCAATTTAGTACCAGTAGCCTTTTTATGTGGCCACCAACAAAGAAGCAGAGACAATCTAGTTGCAAATTAAAGAGCGAGTGACTTCAGTACCATGTCTACTGCTCAGCAGTTGCTGAAATAGCTTCTTTATGAGAAGAAAAATATGCAGTTCCTGTTGTGTGCCCTTGGTGCAAAAATAAATTAATCTTACTCATCTTTTTAAACTTGTGATACCCAAATTAATGTTATAAAATTTTGTTTGTCCTAACCCTTTTTAAAAAAATTATTATATTTCAGAATTCTTTGATATGTTTAAATTCAGGGCAAATTTCTCCTTAACCTGTTCTGAACATTGACCAAATGGTGACTGATGGATGTAAAAAATACATATGAAAAACATGTAGTGATGTCTTAGACAATCTTAAAGGAGACTGCTATCAGGTAATTGTTTTCCAGATATTTTTAAATGAACACATAATATAGTTGATCAGAACTGTGCCTTCCTAAAACAACTTGAAGTATAATTGGTTATGAAGATAAAAATTTCTCTCTACCCTTCTAGTTCTTGGCTGAGGCTCCTGTAATAACAGAAAGATTAACAAGAGAGAAACAGGTGTTTATTAGCACGCATACCTCATGTGTAGGTGGGAGATACCCAGAGAACAGTGAGTAACAAAGAGGTAGCTCTAGAATTTAGCCTTAAATATTATCTTAATAGGGAAAGGGGATGCAGGTGTTTCAGGGGAACGGAAAGGACTTTTAGGAAAGAAGGATGGGCCCTTTGAAGAATAGACAGGAGGCATGCTAGTTTGTGACAAAGTTGGTCTGGGTCCACGTAATGTCAATCTTCTCTCCTGTGATAAGAGGTGATCTTCCCTGGTTGAATCCTCCGGGGAGGGGACTGTATGACAGTTGAGTTTCTTTTGGAGGATCTGTCTAGGCAGATAAAAGGAGTTCAGAGAAGCCTCTCTCTATATTTGCTGTTTTTTAAGTGCCTACAGCTCAAAATGGTCAATATGCCCATGTGGCACATTTTTGAAAAATATTTGTTCTTTATTGATTTTAGAGAGGGGAGGGAAGAGAGAAACATAGATGAGAGAGAACATTGATTGGCTGCCTCCTGCATGCCCCCTGCTGGGGATTGGGCCCACAACCTGGGCATGTGCCCTGACCGGGAATCAAACCAGTGACCTCTTGGTGCATGGGTCAATGCTCAATCACTGAGCCACACTGGCCTAGCTATTTTTTTTTTAAATCCTCACTTGAGGATGTTTTTTGGTTATCTTCAGATAGAGTGGGAGGGACAGAGAGAGAGAGAGAGAGAGGGAGGGAGACATTGATGTGAGAGAGACACAACAATTGGTTGCCTCCTGCATGACCCTGACCAGGGCCGGGGACCCAACTGCAACTGAGGTATGTGCTGGAATCGAACCTGAGTCTCTTTGGTCCTCAGGTCAATGCTTTGACCATTAAGCCAAACTGACCAGGGCTAATGTGGCATATTTTGAGGTGACATGTTCTGCTCCCCTTCTTTCTCTTTGTGAGTTATATGCAGATTTATATTTATGACGTGTACTTATAATAAGAAAGAACTCTATAATCTGTTAATTCAATAACATCCATTCATTCTTTTATAAAAGATGCCATGTACCTTTTTATGACCTTGCAACCACCAACTTTGACTCTCTACCCAGGATAATCTCTCTGTGTCTTGGTCTTTCAGAGGGAATTTACTAAGCAAACCGGTTTCTGTCCTAAATTCTACTGTGCTTACAAGTTCACCAATCATTACAGTTTGTAGGGTACATTTTTATTGTATTTTAAGATGCATGTGTTTGGTGTCCATATCTACAGTACTTGTTAGAACAAGATAACCAAGCAAATACTTATTTTGTTTGAACAGAATTTTGTGTATCTCCAGATGCATAGACAATTTAGGTAAGAGCTTCAGTTGATATGTAAATTACTCACCCCTGCCCTAAAGTGTGTGTATCCAAATTTGATTTTACAGTACACGCATGTTAATTTTTTAAGTTGAGAGAGGCATTCTACATTAAAATGCAGTTGTGACTGTTTCGTCGGCAAAAGGAAAAGATGTATCTTTCACACTATTTCAAAGTTTAAAAGGAGGGGGGATTAGGTTCTTCAGAGCATGACAGATTTTTTTTCACAATGAGCTAAAAGCTACCTTTGTTTACAAAAAATGTTTGCATTATTAACCAGACCCTCAGTCTCGGGTGTTTTAACATTTAATGCTCACATCTGTACCAAGTGGGTATTATTTCTATTTTATGGATGAAGAAGGTTATGCTTAGAGTTTAAAGGACATTTATTCAAGGTTATAGGGTAACTATAGAGGAGAGATTCAGATTCCTAGTTCCTTATATAACTTCCTTATATGGATTAAGAAAAAATACATAAACAAAATCCCAACGCAAATCTACAGTACTTTGATGTTGTGCACTGTTATAATTAAAGGCCACATATAAGTGGGAAGATTTACTAATGGCCCTGGAAAAAAAACCTCTCCACTTGAGTGTCCATCTGAGAGCACAGCACCAAACGCAGAAGGTGACATACATAGTTGGACATTTTAGGGAAGGGAAAAGTAGTCTTTTACTCGAAATAGCTGGGCTCTTGAGGAAGTTGGTTGCCTGAACACATCCTTTTTCCCCAGTCCTTCTGTCTGGAAAAGAACAACCACCAGGGGGAGCCTGGAAGATTCTTGTGAGGCCCAGAGTTTTTTTGTTTGTTTGTTTGTTTGTTTTCCCAGCTCTTGAGGGGTGGGGGTTTCTGGTTTCCCAGGCAGCAGCAGACAAACCCCTTAGGCATTAACATTATACTACCACTGACAAATCACCAGGTCTTTTTAACTTTATCGTTTGAAAACCAGATAACTACTCTGTTAACCTTTTTTAGAAAATAGAAAATATAGCAAAGCACTCTCTTAAAATCATTAAAAAGGAGTACAAAAAGAATACTAAAAGTCGACTTCTGCATATGTAGAAGGTTTCCAAGTAAAATAGTAAATCTGGTCCTTTATTTAAAGAATGATATATATATATATATATTTTTTTTTATCCTCACCCGAGGACATTTTTTTGCATTTTTTTGTTCAGACAGAGAGGGAGGGAGAGAGAGTAAGAGAGAGAGAGAGAGAAACATCGATGTGAAGGGACACATCGAGTGGTTGCCACCCGCACGACCAACCAGGGCCGGGGACAAACTGCAACCGAGGTACATGCCCTTAGCGGGAACCGAACCCGGGTCTCTCTGTACCGCAGGCCAACGCTCTAACTGCTGAGCCAAACTGACCAGGGCTAAAGAATGATATATTATGTACAAGAAAGTTTTAGTTAATAATGTAAAAATATGAGTCTTAAGAAATCAACCTAATTTATTATATGAATGATTTAAAGGAGGAAATAATTGATATTAACAGATGATAAAGCATTTGGGAATATTTAGTCATTCTTAATGAAAACTATTTACATAAAAAAATTTGTAAAACAAGGGAAACTACCTAAACATAATAGAAACTATCAAAAACCTAAAGATAATATATTAAATGGTACTGATGCAAGAAATGTCCAAACCTGTAGAGAATTTTATTTTTTTATGTTTTTTATTGATTTATTTAGAGAGAGAAACATCGATCGGCTGCCTCCTGCACGCCCCCTACTGGGTATTGAGCCAGCAACCCAGGCATGTGCACTGACCAGGAATCGAAGTGGGACTTCTCAGTCCATAGGACAACGCTCAACCCACTGAGCCACACCGGCCCAGCCAAACCTGTAGAGAATTTTTATGAGTTTATTTGAGCCAAATTGATGACAGTTGTCAGGAAGCAAAATATCAGTGGATTGAGAAAATGCCCTGGACAATGGCAGTTTTGTACCTTATTTTATACATAACAATCAAAGGAGGCTTAAGTGGGTTACATGAAATCCATTGGCAACAGATTAGGGAGGTGGGAGATACAAAGTGGGGATAAGGGGTGGGAAATCTCTGAGATTGAATAAAAAGTAAAACATGCTTCTTTTTCATGAATAGATACAGGCTAGTTAACAACATGGTAACAACAATGAGGGCTTTTGTTATCTCTGCTCTGGTGCAGTGAGGGATCCAGAAAAAAAGGGGGGGGGTGACCCTGACATTCCAAAGGTATATTATTTTAGAAGCAAAAAGACAGTAGACAGCCTCAGTTGAGGTAAAGATTGACCTTTGCCGGGGAAGATACCATGCTAAGACATGACTACCCATCATGACTCCTTTTAGTTAGGAAGTTTTCATTTCAGACCATCCTATGTGATTACTTTGTGTCTCTGAGTTTGTAAGGCCGACATGCAGGCCTCCCCTAAGCTTGTCAGGTTTAGTATGTGGCCCCTTTTTTATCCACAATGGCAAAATACATAAGATATTTCCTCTGAACCCGGGAACAAGATGAGGGTGCCTATTACCTTGATTCAGCATTGTTTTTGAGGCATTACCTAATTCAGTAAGGTAGGAAAACGAAAAGAATATAAATATAGAAAGAAATTATTTGCAGATGCTTACAAGATCCAGGAAACTCATCTAGAAATCTAGCTGAATTAATGAGAATTTGGTAAAGTGATTGGATAAAGGCAGTCTAAAAAATTATTCTGTTAAGTTCAATGCTAAACAGTTTTAATGGAAATTGGGTGTGGGGAGGGTAGGTCAGAAATCCTATTCAGAGAAGTGACCAGTTGTTAAATACCTAGGAATAAGTTTAGCAAGAATCATGAGTATTGTGAGACTGATAAAAATTACATTAGGACGTATTGAAAGACAGCAACTGAAGTTTGAATCCGTGGAGAGACATTACATTTCTTGGAGGAAAATATCAGAACAATGTGTCTTCCTAATGATAAATAATTCTAATCAGAATCCCAAGGTAGTTTTTAGAATTAGACCAAATGAGCCCTGGCCAGTGTAGCTCAGTGGATAGAGCGTTGGCCTGCACACTGAAAGGTCACAGGTTCAATTCTATGTCAAGGGCATGTACCTGGGTTGCAGGTTTGATCCCCAGCCCTGGTCTTGGCACATGTGGGAGGCAGCCAATCCATGTGTCTCTGTCACATCAATGTTTCTCTCTCTCTCTCTCTTTCACTCTCTCCCTCCCCCTCTGAGCCTCTTCCCTACTCCCCCCTCCCTTCCACTCTCTAAAATTCAGTGGAAAAAATATCCTCGGGTGAGGATTAACAAAAAAAAAAAAAAAAAGAATTAGACCGAATGACTTTGAAGTTTATTTGTAACAATACATTTCTAAGAATAGCCAAGAAAAAAGTTTAAAATAATCATAATGAAGGAAGAGTTGCCCTCTTGTAATCAAATAGGAAGTATGATGTTGACACAGGAAGAGACAAATAAAGAGTAATGTCACAGAGACTTAAACATATATGGCTGATATGTGGCTTAAGTTGTGTTGACTCAGCTCAGAAGAATCAGGAGGCTTTGGCTAGAAATAAATGACAGAGATTTATTCAAGGGTATTAGGGTTTGCAAACCAGAAATTCAAGAAGGCAGTGCCAAAAATTTTCCAAAGCGGAAAGAAAAACTGAGAATTTTTATAGTAAAAAGTGCATTCTTAAGGAGAATTCAGTCCTGCATTCTTTGCCGATGAATTGGTCCAGGATGGTAAGCTTCAGATGTCCGGTGATCTGGACAATAGAACAATTTTTTCTCGAGGTCATTTAGATGGTCATCTGAAGGTTTGATGCATGTCCAGGCATTGATGCACAACCAGTAGTTGTGTATCCAGGCATTGACGCAGGACTGGGAAATTCAGAAGTTTTAGTTCTCAGGCTAGTTAAGGCAAGAATAGAATTATTTATTTTTGCCTCTGCCTGCTTTATTTTAATACTTTAACAGCTTGAACATAGCGACTCCGTTTTTATTTTTTATTTTTTTCGTTATTGTTTTTAGAGAAAGAGGGAGGGACAGAAATATTGATGAGAGAGAACATCGATTGGCTGCCTCCTGCATACCCTCCACTGGGGATCGGGCCCACAACTTGGGCATGTGCCCTGACCGGGAATCGAACTGATGACCTCATGGTGCATGAGTCGACGCTCAACCACTGAGCACACTGGCTGTGCAGAACTCCATTTTATTTATTCACTTTGTTTCTTCACTTCATTAATCATTTCACTTGGGAAAATGATATTTAGTTGATTGAATAAGTGATGCTGGCATAATAGGCTATCCATCTGCATGAGAATAAAGCTAACTAACTTTAGAAGCCATGGAAAAAATAATTGCAGATAATTTAAGCTCTAGATCTAAAAACTAATACATATAGGAAAATTTAGGAGGTAAGAAACCTTTTAAAGAAAGGACAAGAACCTCAGAATATGTAATGAATGACAACATAATGCCATAAACAAAGGCAGACTGAAAACAAGACTGCTAACAAACATGACAGAGAGGTAATCCCTTCAATAATACAAAGAGTCCCTACAACTTAAATTTAAAAATTAAGTAAAAATGGTATAAAGGGTATAAACTGGTACTTCTCAGAAGACAGAAATCAAATAACCTGTAAACTTAGGACAAGATGCTCTGCCCTGTTGGTGGCCCAGGACATTCATGTGAAAACATTAGCAAGGAACTTGACAGAAATATAAGAAGAGGGACAACAGCCAATACTGGGAAGGATGAAAGGAAACAGCTGCCCTCATGCATTACTGGTTGGAGTGGGAATTGCCATAAAAACTAAAATGCACATGGCTTTGTCAATCCAGTGGTTGAGCATCCACCCCACAGACAGAAAGGCATCTCTACGAGGAGGTTTATTACGGCGGTGTTTGTAGAGGCCAAGGCTTGAAGATAATATGTGTAGAACATTTTTAGTGGAATGATATAGTTTTCACAAACATCAGTATCTGGAATGGTGTTAGGTAAATATTTCCAAGTTCAGAACAATGTGTGTGGTCCTTGTTTTACAAAAGAAGAAGCACTTGTGTGTATTTGTGGGAGAGTGTTTATAAGAATCTGTATGAGCACAGAGAAAAAATCTGAGCATGTCGAATGGGATTGATAAGTAGATTGAAGGCAGCTGGGGTGTTAGTGCCTTCTATGTCTTTGCATGGTTGCCCTTGAATGATGAATTAAGTGAAACACATTATAAAACATTAGGATCGTAAGATTCGATTACTTTAAAAAATGTGACATTGAGGATATGTGTAAGAACATTCAGAGGAAAAAATCTGGAGTAGATTATTTTAGGGAATTGTGGCCAGCTTGATTTTTATTTACTTGTTATATGTATACATATATACATATATATTTTGCAACTAGAAAAATAAAAGACAAGGGGAATAACTCCTGTCTAGTTCAGGATGTTGCCTAGAACCAGATGAATCCCCAGCATATAGCTTCAGTACTTCAAAGATAAGGCAAACCCCAAACTTAGCTCCTAAATTTACTATCAAGCATCTGTATGAGAATTCCAGCTCTTAGCCACTATACTCCCCTCATTAATAACTCTGATTTGGGAGCTGATATTTATTACATGGCTTTATTACAGGTAGTACTTGGAAGTGATAGAGGAAATTGAAAACCCATAGGTTAAGAGTTTGGAGCAAGATGCAAAAATACATCAATAGACAGCCAAGTTATTCATTCAGTACTTGTGTAAAAGGAAAACTAAAAGTAGAAGAAAATAGATAGGAGAGGCAGTGTAGATTAGGGTGAAAAGCATAAACTTGGCTTTCAGATAGCTTGAGGAATACTTGGCTCTGTTTCTCAACTGGGTGCCTTTGGGCAACTTTTGTAACCTCACAAGTTTGTTTTCTCCATTTTGTGAAACAGATAATAATAGTACTTGTAGAGTTGTTGTTTAGATGAAATGAGAAAACACATAAGGCATGTAGTAAAAACACTGAATTTTAGCTTTTACAGGCATGGGTGGAAGTCATTTTTGTTCGTGTGGCAGGTGCTGTGGATGTCAGCCCCAGCTTGCATTTCCCCCCTTTCTCTACAAGTGTTTAGCTACGTCCACATGTGTTGGCTCATCCTCATGTATTCCTGTTTTTTTTCTGGAAGGTTCTAGTAGAGGACTGTATTCCAGTACTGAAGAGGTATGCCAAAAAAGGGAGAGGATTATGTGATTAATGATTTGACAACTTTTTCAATCTCCACATCTCCGGAAGAAGGTAGATTTTGTTTTGTTTTTAACCAAAATAATGTTCATAGGAATGTTTTTTGGCACCACGTGAGAATGAAAGGATCTTAGAGATTATCTAGTTAAATTCCTTCGTTTTTTTAAGGGTAGTTAAACTGAGGTCCACAGTGCAAAGATGGCTGTATTGGCTTTGGTTAAATCCTGTCCTGCTCCTAAATGAGCAAATTAACTGAGTCATTTGAAACAAACACGAAATAAAATGACTCATAATTACATCATTGAGACATTAACTTGTTTGATAATTTATTTGCATTGGATGATTTTTTTTGTTGTTCAGATAGAGTGGGAGTGGGAGAGAGGAAAAGAGACAGAGAGAGGAACGTTAACGTGAAAGGGACACATCGAGTGGCTGCCACCCGCACGACCCAACCAGGGCCAGGGACAAACTGCAACCTAGGTACATGCCACCCTTAGCGGGAACCAAACCTGGGTCTCTCAGGACCACAGGCCGACGCTCTAACCGCTGAGCCAAACCAGCCAGGGCTGCGTTGGATGATTTTTAACCTGTAATGGGGTAAACTGGTGACCTATCTAAACAACACCAGATGCCCTTCTCAAACCACACACTCGAAATCACTGCTGGGTTGGAGTTTCAGTGTCAATGATTTTTCTTTTTTTTTTTTTTTTTATCATCACCTGAGGATACTTTTCCATTTATCTTCAGATAGAATGGGAGGGAGGAAAAGAGAGAGAGAGACAAACACCAGTGTGAGAGAGAGACATCATATGGCTGCCTCCCGTACAACCCCAACCAGGGCCTGGGACAAACCACAACCGAGGTAGGTGCCCTTGGCCAGAATCCAACCCGAGACTCTTTGGTCCGTGGGCCGATGCTCTATCCGCTGAGTCAAACCAGCAAGGGCTTGATGATTTTTCTGGAACCTTGTCTTCCTGCTGAGTTTGCAGGCTGGTTCACTACCTGATGACCCTTGCAGTTTTTCTCTTGGGATGTTGCTACTATCCCCCTTACTTAACCTGTCGTCTTACAGATTCCAACCACCACCTTTGTGTTGAATCTTTGTGGGTGTTGTAAGAGCAGGATAAGTACATGCAGATTTGCGTTTGACCCACTTATGTATGTGCACATGTGTGCAAGACTTCCAGTTTATATATTCATAAATGACAATACATTTTTATTTATCAGTAAGCTCTCGAATATTGTATCTTAAGCATTTGGCTCTTTCTTCATTTAGTATTGATGTGTTTGACTTTAGGTGTTGTTTCTGATGCATGCAAACCCGTATTTATAAAACTGAAATTTGTTTAATATCCAGATTCCACATGGGAGTTTCTCAGACTGATTCTTGACCTCTCCATGAAAGTACTGAAACAGGATGGGAAATATTTTACACAGGTAGGCTACTTAATTGTTTTTCCCCCAAACACTCAATAAGCATCTTCTATTTTGAAATTGAAATGCATAGTCTTGAAATTTATGTCTATTAAAAATAGAACAGTGTAATTGGATTATGTTCTTTGACGCAGTAAGTTTGTAAATAGCCAGCCTGGCATCATTTGGGAATTAATTAGTTCTGTTATGTCCTGTTACCTTTAACTTTCCAGATTTATCAACCTTGGGCTTTGAGTGTAGTATGAGTTGCTGCCACAAGATGGAGACACAGATTGTGATTCTCCCCTTTATAGGAAATCTACAATGAAACCTGCTCAAACAAAGTCAGCTTATTGATGTAAAAGCATGCCAAATTCAGTGAGTTGGGGAATTTTCACAAGTGGAGTTAGGGAAAGAGTGTGACTGTTTTCGTTCCTTGAGAATATTTGCCTGGTACACTGCTTTCTTGGGGAATTGATATCTCAGTATGAAGGATTAATAAAAAACAAACAAACAAACAAAAAAATTTCAGCCCAGCCACTGTGACTCAGTGGATTTAGCGTCATCCCATGGACTGAGAGATCACCAGTTCAATTTCTGTTCAGGGCACATGCCTGAGTTTCGGGCTCAATCCGCAGTAGGGGGCGTGCAGGAGGCAGCCTATCGATGTTTCTCACATGGATGTTTCTCTCTCTCTCTCCCCCTTCCTCTCCAAAAAATCAGTAAAAACTTATTTAAAAAAGAACAGTTTCTTAACAGGTCACCACAGCCCATTCATTAAATATTAGTGATCTAGGCTTTGATAACTTGTCTTTGCCAACTGATTTTTTACGAAAAATCTCATGCCCAGGGCTGTGCCAGTTTCCAAGGATTGTCCAAAAGATGTATTACAACATGTTTCCTGTCCCAGTGTTCATTACAGTTGGAGACTCCAGGCGATCTCATTTTATCATACCCAGCATCACATGGTACATGTGGTGATTGAATGTGTGATGGCACATGTGACATTCCTGTAGACCAACGGTTCTCAACCTGTGGGTTGCGACCCCTTTGGGGGTTGAATGACCTTTTCACAGGGGTCGCCTAAGACCATCGGAAAATGCATATTTCTGATGGTGTTAGGAACCGAGACACTGCTCCTCTATCCGTCTCCAGGCGGATCTGCCCACATGCAGATATGCCCACATACAACATGAGGAACTGTATTAAAGTTCCTCATACACGCCCCCTACTGGGGATTGAGCCCGAAACTCAGGCATGTTCCCTGAACAGGAATTGAACCGGTGATCTCTCAGTTGCGGCATTAGGAAGGTTGAGAACCACTGCTACAGACAAAGAGGGTGGAGGGCCTTTGAAGAAGCAGTGGTCGAGTCCAGAGTGCAGGGTGGTTTGATTGTGGATGTACTGATGTAGTTGCCACAATGCAATATTTTTTAAACTGCCAGGTGATAAGCTCAGAAGACACCCTTGATTTACATCCACCTGCCTTCCCCAAGTGTGTCACTTAGAACTGGAGTAACGCTAATGATGGGATGAAAGTGTTTGGCCTGTTACTTGGTAATTGACAAATGTTCCTGCCTGAAATTGCTTGCATAGCAGTAGGGTGTTCATAATGTCACTAGTGTCACTGTGGCTGTTTGGAAATCCCCTTGTGGCTGTTTGGAAATCCCCTTGTCAGAGTGCCACAAAGCTGGAGAAGGCATCATGGAGTACCTGGGGTTAGGCTCTGGTTGATGGGGGAATTGGACTCTGAATCTGGGGAAGATTTACTTTCATAGGACTAGGAGGCAGATCCCAAGACTTGACCTCCCTCTCTGTTCTCTCCCCACTACCCATTAAAACTAGGTTATTTGATTATGTATGTGATATTCATGTAAATTACTACCACCAACACATCTCCATTCCTCCCTAATCTGTGCCCACCTTCTAGAAGTAACCTACTTTTAGTGTTTTTTTTTTAAATTCCTGTTCTTTATAGATGTTTCACATATGTGTGATGTAAAAAATCGTTGCATTGTTTAGTTTTGCTTGCTTTTGAACTTGATAAAAATGATGTCCTTAAGGATGTATACTTCTTTTTTTTTGTTTTTAATTTTTTTTCCTTTTATTGATTTTAGAGAGGGAGAGGGAGAGAGATAGAAACATTGATGAGAGATAACATTGATTGGCTGCCTCCTACATACCCCCCCCCACTGGGGATCAGGCCCACAACCTGAGCATGTGCCCCGACTGGGAATCAAACTGGAGACCTCCTGGTGCATGGGTCAACGCTCAACCACTGAGCCACACCTGCCGGGCAAGGGTGTATACTTCTTCACCTGCTTTTTACTTTGCAGAAGTGTAATACATGCAAATTGTTAAGTTTAAAAGATACAAGCAGTACAGAAATCTAAAGTGAAAAACCAAGTGTCACTTATCCACATCTAACATGGGCAAGGACAACTTTCTAAAATGGAAGCTACTGAATTGGGATTTACCCCTACTGCCCTATTGTTCCCTTTCTTTCATCCTTATTAAGTTTTTAATTCTTTGCTATTAGATTTTTGTTCTGCATTGCTCATGTGTCTTTCTTAAGAAATGAAAGAAAATGTATTCTATTTAAATACACAGGAAAGCAGAATGCATCACATTACTTTTTTGAGTAGGTCTCTATTTGTGGTGAGTTGTTTTCTTTTTTTAAACTGCTTTTTGACAGTGTTGGGGAAGAACAAATTGAAAGTATCCTATTTCCTTACCACATTCTCTGTAGAGGTCCTCCCATGTACCCTCTATCAAAAGAGCATGGTGTCAATTTTAGGATGGCAAGGGGAAACCATTGAACTGTGCACCTTAGTGTCATTTCCATTTTACAGCCTCCCCAGGGGTGATGTACTCTAAAAACAACCAGGCAGTGTTTTCTATTTGTGAGTCTTAAATTACACATGTGGTGTTTATATGCTCTCATACTGAACTTGATGTTGAAACCAAATTATATGCTGGCCAAGGGCACTTTGGCCAAATCCCACTGCAGGACCCTAGATGATGGGTTACTAAACTGGCTGGCACTGAAGGACGACGTCATGCTGAGCGAATGTGCTAAGTTAAAACCACCAAGGCCAGCTCTCAGAATAGTTCTGTCTACCCACTTGTCCATGGCTGGCTGGTTGGTTTGTTTTGAAAGGCCATCTTCAAAATTGCTTGCATCACAGGCTACCTTTATCTGTGAATAATTTTCCTCTTACATTGGACTTGGCTATTTTCAGGCAAAATGATAGTGAAGTTCTTTTGAAGAAATAGAATCAGCACATACAATACATTCATTAGCTCTCTGAATGCTAAGAACGTCAGTGGTTAAAAGAAAATAGGTGTGTCCAGCCAGTGTAGCTCACTGATTGAACGTCGACCCATGCACCAGGAGGTCGCCAGTTTGATTCCTGGTCAGGGCACATGCCCAGGTTGTGGGCCCGATCCCTAGTGGGGGGCATGCAGGAGGTGGCCAGTCGATGTTCTCTCTCATCATGTTTCTATCTCTGTCTCTCCTTTCCTCTCTCTCTAAAATCAATAAAGAAAAAGTATTTTTAAAAAAAATTGGTGGCATCAAATACTCATCTTATTTTCTAAATCTGCTATGAAAGCACTTGGGGGAAAATTGTGCTAAGATGATAGTCCCTGCCCTCAGCCTACTGAATGAAAATTTGTATTTTAGCAAGATCACCTATGATTCATATGTACATTAAAGATTGAGAACCATTGCATTGTGGTGCTGGTTCGCCCGAAGGCCCAAAATGGCATGATCCTGAAGGCCCACTTCCACAAGGACTGGCAGTGGTGTGTTATCAGTGGTTGCACCAGCCTGCAAGGAAGATCTGCAGACGCAAGGCCCAGCAAGCCAAAGCGTGCCCTTCATCCAAACTCATATGACCCATAGTGAGATGCCCCACAGTTAGCTATCACAGCAAAGCGTGAGCCAGCAGGAGCTTCAGGTTGGAGGAGTTAAGTGTGGCCAGCATCCATGAAAAAGATGGCCTGGACCATTGGGATCTCAGTGAATCTAAGGAAACAGGACAAGTCTGCTGAGTCCCTGCAGGCCAATGTGCAGCAACTGAAGGAGTACCACTCCAAGCTCGTACTCTTCCCCAGGAAGCCTTAGCCCCCAAGAAAGGAGGCAGTTCTGCTGAAAAACTCAAGTTGGCCACCCAGCTGACAGGACCAGTCATGCCCATATGAAATAGCTACAAGAAGGAGAAGGCCAGGGTCATCGCAGAGGAGGAGAAGAACTTCAAGGTGTTCTCCAGTCTTTGTATGCCACTCCAGTGCCTGGCTCTTTGGCATCTGGGCAAAAAGAGCTAAGGAAGCTGCAGGACAGGATATTGAAAAGAAAAAAATAAATAAAACGCTGTTGGCAGCTTGTGATTTTTTAAAAAAGGAGAAAAAAAAAGATTGAGAAGCAGTGCTGTAGAACCAGGCAGATTTGGTAGCTCTACTATGTCTCTCGGCCGGCATCTCTGATTCTCTCCACGCCCCCCTCCCCCCCATCATCACAGAGTGGCTGCTGCCACTCCAAATGTTACATCTAGGTTATAGGCTAGGGGAAAAAAAAGGTTGATGGGATGGGTCACTGTTTATCCTTGATTGCCCAGAATAAAAGGACTTTCCCATTAGTCCCCCAGCAGACATCTACTGTATCTCATTGACTACCCTGGTCTGCTGAGGAAGTAGATCAGTGGTAGCAAGAAAGGGAGAAAAGTTAGAATAATTAAGTCAAGAAAATGTTTGATAAGTAGTGAGACGGGGCAATATTTTTTGTGCATGTATCTTGAATAGACTTTTGTCCTCTTATGCCTTAAAGTCAGATTTGGGGGAAAATGTGGAGGGTATGAATATAGTTATGTGCCAGTATCTTAGACTCTTATGAGGGTCGTAGTTTAAACCATTGTGGACATCCAGAATATTATCTTTTTGATACATTATTATTCTCAATGCGGTGGTGACTACTGGGAAAACTTATTTTGAATGGGTTATGTGTATGAATCTTTGTTCTTGCATGATGTTGATACAATGGCTGTGTCACTAATGAGAAATTAGTCTCACTGTTTTCTATTGCTTCATATTCTAATCATTTGAAATGGCTTGGTAAATGAGGTACAGGGATAATGAACTAATGGATCTATAAATAGAACTCAGTGCAATTTGTAAAAGTACAGAAACCTTATCTCATTTTTAGAGATGGACTGTTATCTGAAGCTAGAATTATTTCCATTTATTAGCAACCTTCAAATATGTGGGACCTTCAGTGGACTCAAGTCTCCCATTGTTTGCTTTTCTCTCTTTGATTTAGGGGAACTGTGTCAATTTGACAGAAGCCCTGTCACTCTATGAAGAACAGCTCGGGCACCTGTATTGTCCTGTAGAATTCTCAAAGGAGATCGTCTGTGTCCCTTCATACTTGGAATTGTATCCTTTGATCATATCATTGTGTTGCCAGATCAGAACACCAGGTAAATCCCATGCCAGTTTCACATTTTAAATAACCAGCATTAGCTCTGTGGTATGTAAGGCCCTGGTTTTCAAGCTGCGCTGCACATTGTAATCCACTCGGAGCTCTAAAACAATACTGATTCCTGGGTCCCACCCTCAGATTCTGGGGTGTGGCCTGCCACAGTTCCCAGGTGGTTTTAATGTACAGGCACCACTGGTTCTCACAGGCGGTCCTCAGACCTGCAGCATCATCTGGGAACTGGTTAGACATGCAAATTCTTAAGCCCCACCCAGCCTGCTGCCCTATGAGGAAAGCCGGGGGTGGAGCTGGTGTCTAGCCTTAAGCAGCCCTCTAGGGGATGGATGTGCACAGTAAAGGCTTCAGAAGCCCCAGGCTAAAACACCACCCCAGCCCTTGCAGGCAAAAAGACTGAAGACATGCATAATACTTTTATATTAAGATTACCCTCCTTTAATATTAGTTTCTGCACTTCACTTGATTGCGATTTGCAGTGGAAATCAAGAGCTAAAAATAATGTGGCGGATCTCAAAGTTAACTTTAGTGTTCTCCATTAGTGCTACTTAGTAAAGTCAATCCAGAGAAATAAAAGAACCCAAGGAAAAACCAAAATGAGAGCATTTTCATTGGAAATGTATAATGTATTTCCACCTTCTAAAAGGCAGACTGTAGTCTGCAGACAAAGCTTCCTTTCTTAAGGTGGCAGAATTTCCTGTGATTGCTGCTGGCCTGCAATGAGACCCCTGCAAGGCTGGGCAGGGGCTGACAGAGAGGCGACCATAAATCCCTCCAGGGTTCTCCCTGGGATGAGTGGGTGTTCTGTGCACTTGGTGACCATGTTCTTCCTTGGCCTGTGGCAAGCTTTGTCCCCTACCAGCTCTCCACCTTCATCAGAGCATTTTTTACCATCAGGTCTGTGTTTATCGGTGGAAAGACTTTAGAAATTAGTTGATAACATTAAGAAAAAAGGGTCCCGCCTTCTGACTCCCCTCTGACTCTTTCCCTTCCTTCCACCTCTTTTTTTTCCTTCTCTTCCTCCCACCTTCTCCCCATCCCATTTTTCACCTCCCTCTTGTTTTTGTCTCTCCCTCTCACCTTTCCTTATGTCAATTTCCTAAAACATCTCAGAGATCTTGAAAGCAGTACTGTTACCTGAGACAATAAGTGTGTGCCTTTAGCCTTCACTCCGCTTGCTCCCTTCACCCCAATCTCACAGGTGGTCAATGTCCAGGCTGCAAAGCGGTTTATTTAAGAGGCCTTCATTCTCATTGCCACAGTGCTCTAAGTTAGCAATTTTCAACCGATGTGCTGCAAGAATTTTTAAAACCTTCAATATCTGACTATTTAGCCAGGGGCACTGACCTCTTTTCCCTTAGATTGTCAAATAAAAAAATGACAACAGCCAACACAACAATAGCCATCTGTTGTGAATGAATGAAAATTATACCTATTATTTTGTTCAGATTGGCAAAAAGTATAATACGTGTTTTGGTGTGCTGCAGAATTTTAGTAATTAGTTTATGTGTGCCATGAGATGAAACAGGTCAAAAATTGTTGCTCTAAGCTATGAAACCTTCATCCATCTTCCAATTTGTAGGCTGGCAAACAAAGTTTAAGTGATACCTGTTCTTTGAATTACCTGCTGTCATTCCTTGACTCCTTGTCCAGGTGGGTATTTTACACTGTTTGGAAGAAAACTAAACCTTGAAGATGAATATCCCCTAAACATGTGCGCTACAAATAGCCTTCCTGACCTTTCTATGCTGTATGTGCCATCAAAACGAGTCAGGCAATTGATTGTGAATTCCTTCAAGTTTTCTTTTTTTAATTATTATTTTTTAATTTAAAAAAGCAAATGGAAAATGTATATTTTGATGAACTAGGGTGTTATTTTTTGAAAGTCAGCTGAAGGATGATTAGATAGCATAGCAAAGGCTGCTAATTCACTGAACCTCTAGAATGTGATTTTTGCTACTTCTGTTGTTTTTCTTTCCTTTGTGGGCTGTTTTTGTTTTTATTTTGGTAGACTTTGAATTTGGTTGTTTGTAGGAATAAATGTCATTGTTTTGTTCTGGAGGAAAGTTCTTGATGGTGTTTCTTTCCCAAAAAAATGAATGGACTTACATGATTAAAATTTGGTGCTTATATGAAAGTTAAAAAAATGAATTAGTAATGCTTTGATTAAAATTACAAATGAGAAATTTTATGTGTCGGTTCTTTTATTTCCGTTAGGTCCCCTCTTTCTTACTTCTGACTGCACAGAACAAAGGTGTCCCCTGATCTTTTTTTAGCTCTTATATTACTCGGGTGTCATTTATCTCTTTACAATAGGATGGCCTTAGGGTCTTTCTTGAACAGTAGTAATGACTTCCATTTACCATTGTGGTAAATGATACACACAACCTATTACATTCACCAGTTCTTCATTATAAAATTGACCTGAGGATAGGAAAAGATTTGGCCTTACTATAAAGTTGAAAGTCAAAAGCTTATTTCTGTTCCTCCTCTTACTCATGTATTAGATGTGGGAGCAAAGATCATTTTGGATCACTGCTGCGAAGCTTTGAGATTTTTGGACACACAAATAGATGATAGTTTGTAGAGAGACCTGAAATAAGAGCAACTTAAACTCACCTAAGGAAGTGCTTGTAACTACCAGCTTGGTTGGTAGTATATTTGTGGGAAACAGCCCACATTACAGGTGAGGGTATATTGACTTGGATTGTTAGACATCACTGGATTATTCTGTTTTTTTTTTGTTTGTTTCTTTTTTTAATTTGTTTTTTAATCCTCACCCGATGATGTTTTTACATTAATCCTCAGATAAAGCTAGAGGGAGAGAGGGAGGAAGAGACAGAGAGAGAGAGAGAGAAACATCGATGTGAGAGAGTGACGCTGATTGGTTGCCACCTGCACAACCCCAATCTGGGCTGGGGACAAACTGCAACCGAGGTATGTGCCCTTGGCCGGAATCAAATCCGGTACTCTTTGGTCCAAATCCGGTACTCTTTGGTCCAAATCCGGTACTCTTTGGTCTACGGGCGATGCTCTTACTGCTGAGTCATACTGGCCAGGGCTGGAATTTTTTTTTTTTTTTTTTTTTTTATCCTCACCCGAGGACTTTTTTTTTTGTTGTTGTTCAGATAGAGTGGGAGGGAGAGAGAGGAAGAGAGAGAGAGAAACGTCGACGTGAAAGGGACACATCGAGTGTCTGCCACCCGCACGACCAACCAGGGCCGGGGACAAACTGCAACCGAGGTACGTGCCCTTAGCGGGAACCGAACCTGGGTCTCTCTGGACCGCAGGCCGACGCTCTAACCGCTGAGCCAAACTGGCTAGGGCTGGAATTTTTTTTTTAATGAAAGGTTTATGCTTATCAATGGAAAGAGTTTGTTTGTGGTGTCTTTGCAGTAAGCAAAGCATTAACGAAATATTTAGTGTCCCTTTTGAGATACAGTTAGTGACAACCCAGAATATTCTTCTAACAGGTAGTCTTTAAAAATGAGTGTATACCTGCTTTTTTTTTTTTCCCCCTTTCTTATTAGATTGGCATGAAGAAGAAACAATAACATAATAGGAGTTAAAATCATGTTGGAACTAGATTGGCTTTCAGGAAATATTTTTCTTGTGCACAAAAGTTAAAAATGGCATTGGTAGACATTAAGAATCCTATCCACCCTTCAAATGCTTCTATATTGCTTTACAAAGGCTCTGTAAATTGTAAAATTAAAAAATAATGGTGCTATTACTGTTAGAACTCTGTTCTGTGTTAATAGAATTGGATGTTTCCATTTCAGAAAAGAAACCAAGTTCATTTGGTATCTGGATATAGTGTTCACTAATATGTAGGCATGGACTTATGCTTGAATACTAGTTTGAGGCCAAGGCTGATCCAGTGATGAATCTGGTGACACAGGCCCCGCCAAGAGTGAGAGTTAGAAATGAGGTGGATCAGGTTGTGCCAGACCATGGTAGATGGATTCAGGGGAGAGTAAGGAATGTATGGGAGGAATAGAAATACATATTTTTATTTTGTGTAAATTCTGACTCTACCCATTTATTTGTATTGGAGAAAGGATGATACCTGATTGTTTTTGAACATTTTTATAATTGTTTCAAAAGAAAAGCATGCAGATTGTGAATTCTCATCATTAAAAACAACCTCTACTTTTGCTGCATTTTTAAGGAAATGTGATAAGATCTAAGCACCATCATTTCACTTAAATGACTATAGTGTTGTAGTCTCCTTTATAATCTAAAATCGAATATACTGTAGTATCATGTAGCCACATTTTTCCAAGACAAGACAGATATGGTTGTAGTTTAAGTTCTATCCAGCTCATCAGCAGGTATGAAAAGTTGGTTTATTAAAAGAGACAATGTTGTTTTCTCCTGAAAATGTGATTGGATATTTTTTAAATGTCATCAATGGTGATGTGACTGGGTGGAGAAAGGCTGGGTAGACTGTGCGTTTACTGGTCTGGAGCAAAGTTATAGCAATAAAAATGTGCTACTGTTTTCCACGTAGTTGAATAGTCCCCTCCCTGCTTGCATTAGCTGTTGCTGACATAAGAGTTTTCATTTGTCTCGATACATTTCATTCTTTTCCCATGACCTGTGGGACAGGGTGAAGGGAGTGTGTGAGTGATATTAGATACCATCGCCCTGTATTTGAGGTTCTAGAGTAATGCTGCTGAAAGTGAAGTCCTTCGATTGTTTACTTCCACTGAACTTTATTGTTCCTGACAAGGTCTTGTCTGTGAAGGAAGCAGTTCATTGATTGATACTGTGGCTCAAGTTCCTTATGTTGTATTAGAACAGCACTTCCCAGTTAGGCCTTTAGGCCGAATTATTTCACATGAGCTGCTGTGTGGCTTTGAGGAAACACTGCATTTCCTTCTATCACCCTGTTGCTGAGAGTCTTTTTGGACCAGATAATCATTTACATTGCTGTGCTTTGGGTTATTAAGCCATTTTCCTTTATATTATCTTGCTCAGCTTTAAAATAACTTTGTGAATTCAATGTTAATATCACAGAGTAGGCCAACAGTCAAAATTTAAAGTATTCCCCAGGTCCCATGGCTAGTAATCATTTGAATCTAAGTTCTAGCGTTGGGAATGTGCTCTCTGAAAGCTGACACCAGCGGTTCTTACTCTTTTTTTGTTCCTTGGACTGGCAGCCTGGTAAAACCTGTGAGCCCCTCCTCAAAAACATGTTTTTTTAAGACATGAAGAAATAATTACAAGGAAACAAATACCTTTTTTTTCAGGAATGTATGATTTAATATGCATGTTTTAATAACTTGTTACATGGCCAGATCTAGTGGTAGGTTGAATACTTTCCTTTGAAGTAGTAATGAGTACAAATGTTTATAAGATCTGCAGCAACTGATATGTAATAGCAAATCTGATTTCTTTTGATAAAGTCATAGGTACTGCTAACATTGACATGGTTTACCACCTATGTTTATGTTTAAAAGAAATGCAAAATTTCAGTTAGTGGTTAGTGAAAAAGAAGATAGAAATGTTTCCTCATCCAGGTTTAGGGACATACAGAATTCTCTCCATAGACCCCAGGTTTAGAAACCCTGACCTACAGTTTTTGCTTTCATTGTATTTAGGTGGTACAGAAGGGTAGCTGGGTTCTTTTCAGCCTGATGTCAGAACCTCAAATCAGTCCTGGCAGATCAGTTCTCCTCGGCCAGGACCATTTAAAATCTCAATTACCTGGTGTAGCCATTTCACCGATTTCTGCTTTCCTCATTATTTCAAAGATGAGAAATAGATCATGGGCAAAAAAAAAAAAATAATAATAATCCAGTGCTTTTGGATAGCTATTTGAGTACTCTTGGATGTGATTTCCCTGGGAAATCAGATGATAAATGTGACTGGACAGGTAAGGCTCATCTCCTGAACTGGGGTCCCAGAGACACCCTGGCCAGCTTATTGATGCAGATGGTGTCCCCGGACAGCATCCAACGACGTGGTGGTGGTAATTTCAGTGAGCGATTCCTTTATGATGAAGCATTAGGGAATAGGCCCCTCTACAACTTACACAGGAATGTAACAGAATAAATGAGGCAGGTGCTCTCCCAGGTAAAGCGAGCTGAATAAGTCTGGTCCATTTTTGACAGAAGCCCTCCAGTATCCGGAAAGGGATAGCCTAGAGACGAAAGCCCAGGATTGTTTATCTAATGCTTTGTGTGTGTAGTAGGCACTTAGGAGTTAAAGTGCACTGTAAAAGGCAGTTCTTAGAATTACATTTTCCAAGTGAGGCGTGGAGGAAACAGGCTGGTGTGAAAAATTATAGTATATATATAAAAGTGATCGACACCAAACGTCACTTTTATCTATGGTACTTCCAACGTTAACTATAAGCTGTGCTCTTTCTTTTCCCAGCCAGATTAAGACATGCTTCAATGTCTATCAGATACTATACTTATACAATCTAAAGCAGAACCATCCCTGTTTTCACTAGGAGAGAAATGAAAACTTAAGCTTATAAATATTTCACTACAGATTGCACTCCACTGTCAACTACGTCACTCTTGATTGCCTCTGCCCTTGGTGATGCCCCACCCATTGAGCAGAATTCTTGCACATGGCCTCCAGTTTGTTCCCTGCTAGCCTACAGAGGACTGTGTCTCGGGTTCCCATACCAGTCCATGCAGGCCAGGCAGCAAGGCTACTGATACTCTCTGCTTCAGGGCCATGATAGCAAGAGTCTCTGATCCTGGCTGCTTGTGCTTAGTTTGAGCCTGGCCCTTGGCTCCAACTGGGTAAATCAGGATGATTGTGCACTAAAATATTTAAGCGTAGTAATGAATTGTAAGCCATTGGAAAAAAATTGGAAGTCATGAGGGTGTATGGAAAACAAATATACAAATAAATAGGGGACACAAAATCAATAAGAGGCTTACCATAGAATGCTGATTACCAACTAGCTAAGGGGGAGGGACTGCTGGAGTTGA